TACTGGTCTAACTTCTTTCTTCTGTATTTGGATATCCAGTTTCTCAGAGGATTTTTTTTCTCTACTCCAGCATATACTTTCGATATCTTTGTCATGTATGTCTGTCTCTTGTCAAGGACATAATTTTATTAATATAGTTCTGTAATTCATCTTAAGATCTAGAATGGCAATTACTTCAGCATTGTTTTTACCCCTCAGTTACTTGGGCTGTCTGAGGTATTTTGTGATTCTATATAAATTTTAGGATAAGTTTTTCCTGTTTCTGTGAAAAAGGAGATGGGGATTTTGATTAGGATTACAGTGACAAAATTGATTTTGAGAAAATTATGATTTTCACAATGTTAATTCTATCAATCCATGACCATGAAATGTCTTTCTATTTTGTACTGTATTTCTCTGTCTCCTATCTTTAGATGTTTAAAATGTTTCATTGTAGAATCCCTTTCCTTTTTTTTTGGTTAAGTTTGTTACTAGTTAATTCTTGAGACTGTTGTAAATGGGAGTATGTTTATGATTTTCTTCCCTGTGTATTTGTTATATATCTATATATCTACATCTATCTATCATCTATCTATCTATCTATCTATCTATCTATCTATCTATCTATCTATCTATCAAACTAGAGAACATTTTTTTGTACATGTTGATTTTGTATCTGCCCCAACTTCTGAATTAGTTTATAATTTCTGGAAAATTTCTGTAGAATTTCTGAGATCTTTTATGTTTTTTCACTCACAAATATGGATAATTCATCTTATTCTTTGTCAGTCTATTCCCTTCAATTTACTTCTCTTGCCTTATTGATCCAGCTACAGCTAGTGCTCCAGTCACAATACAGGAGTGGACATCCCTGCCTTGTTCCTGACTTTAGTGGCTTTGCCTCACACTGCTTTCCATTTGGGATAAGGTTGTCTGTGGGATTCTCATATTTAGTCTGTATTGTGTTAGTTTCCTCCAGCCCTACATTTTCTAGGGTTTTTATCATGAAGCCATTTTTGTGTTCTGTCAAAAACTTTTCTGTGTCTGTTGGGATAAGCGTGTGATATTTGTCTTTAGGTTTATTTCTGAAGCTAATTACACTTATTGACTCGCTTTTATGTTGAAAATTCGTTACATTTTAGGGATAGTGTCATGTTGGTCATGAAGCATTATTGTTGCATGTATGTCTCTATATTATGATAGCAAGTATTTCTTCTGAGAAGTGGTTTTTCTGTGTAAGACTAGCTGTCCTGGAACTTGCTCTGTAGGCCAGGCTACTTCAAACTTGAACAACTTGACTCTGTCTCACGAGTGCTGGGATTAAAAGCATGTGTTACCACTGCCCTGCTCTTTTAGAATTTTTTAGTCTATGTTCATCAAGAATAGTTTCTTGTACTTTTTCATTGTTTTTCTTTCGGGTATTAGAGCAATATAGATTTTGGTGAAGATATTTGGGGAGTGATTCTTCTCTTTTTATAATTTGAATATGACCCAGCATAGTGGGATGCTAGAGCAGTGAAGCAAGAGTGGGTGAGTGGGTGGAGGAGCACCCTCAAAGTGACAAAGGCGAGGAGGAGGAGGGATGGGAAGGGAGGATTGTGGAAGAGTAACTAGGAATGGGACAATCATTTGAAATGTAAATGAATAAAATGATTAAAAAATATAAAAACACTATAAGGGAATAAGGGAATATTTTCAAAAATTTTCACTCCATTAAGCTGGTAAACCTAAAAAAAAAAGAGTGACTAATGGTCTCCCCTCCCACTGATGTCAGATAAGGCCATCCTCTGCTACATAGGTATCTGGAGCCATGTATACTCTTTGGTTGGTGGTTTAGTCTCTGGAAGCACTGGGTTGTCCTGTTGATATTATTTTTCCTACGTGGTTGCAATCCCCTTCAGCTCCTTCTGTCCTTCCCCTAGCTCTTCCACTGGGGTCCCTGGCAGGTCTCAGTCCAATGGTTGGCTGTGAGTGTCTGCATCTGCATTGTTCAGGTTCCGGTAGCACCACTCAGGGAACAGGCATACCAGGCTCCTGGCAGCAAGTGCTTCTTGGCATCAACAATAGTCTCATTGTTTGGTGTCTGCACACGGGATGGATCCCCTAGGTGGGATAGTCTCTTGGGTGGCCTTTCTTTAGTCTCTGTTCCACTTTTTTGTCCCTGTCTTTCCTTTGGACAGGAACAACGTTTCTGCATCACCAATTGTGAGATGTATGAAGGGCTCCAACACTCAACTGGGGGCCCTGCCTATCTACTGGAGGTGGTCTCTATAGGTGCTGTCCCATGTGGTGTTGAGAAAACTGCATTCTTGAGCATTTAGTTGAAATTTTCAGTGGATTTCTGTTAAATTCATTTAACATTTTAAAATGCCAAACAGATATGAACAAAAAAGCACCTCTACGGCCCGGCTGCGATGGTAAAGGGGTTCCGCTGCATTTTGTCACTACTTGGGAGACTACACCTTCCTGAGAACTAGGCCAGAAGCCGAAGTATTATTTTGTAGCTACCAGAAGCCAGGACTCTGGAACAGTTTGCTGGCTGTGGATCTTCTATACTTATAGTGTGACAGTTGCTTCAGATCTGCCACTGTTAGATACTTCCTGCCACCCATCCTGGTAGTATAGCTCTGAAAGTAGTCACAGCCACTCTCAGCCAGGAGTCCCTCACCCGACTCCTGTGGTTGCCCTTTCCATCATGCCAAAGAATAAAGGCAAAGGAGGCAAAAACAGGCGCAGAGGTAAAAATGAAAATGAGTCTGAGAAAAGAGAGTTGGTGTTTAAAGAGGATGGGCAGGAGTATGCTCAGGTGATGAAAATGCTGGGAAACGGACGGTTGGAAGCAATGTGTTTTGATGATGTAAGGAGGCTGTGTCACATAATAGGAAAGTTGAGAAAAAAGGTTTGGATAAATACCTCAGACCTTATATTGATTGGTCTACGAGACTATCAAGATAACAAAGCTGATGTAATCTTAAAGTATAATGCAGATGAAGCAAGAAGTCTGAAGGCCTATGGAGAACTTCCAGAACATGCCAAAATCAATGAAACAGACACATTTGGTCCTGGGGATGATGATGAAATCCAGTTTGATAATATTGGAGATGATGATGAAGACATTGATGATATCTAACCTGACCGAAGCATGTTACATTCCTAGTTCTCTGAAGATAACTCTACACAATTGGCATCTTGACCTTCAGCTGTTAAGTAAAACTTCATTTGGCTTGTGTATGACTTGTTAATGCAAATTGACAAATTTCATTTTTTGAAGTATTATATTTCTTTGAAAACCAAAGATGTTGAATTCTCTTATGTGACACATTAACACTTTGTGTTTGGATATAATTGAACTTAGGGCACAGCAGTGCGCACTGTTAAGAGACTGGCTTTCCATTTGTGATGCTTCATTTCTGGCACGGGCTTGTTCTGTGTCAGCAGTTCTGCCGGCTAACCATCGTGGGCTGAAGTGAGTCCTGGTCCAGCACACCTGCTTCAGGCCTTTACGTTCCAGTCATCTGGCTGCGGTTGAGACTTCTCATCAGACTTACAGATGTCTAAGTCTGCATTTGGAGTCAGACAGAGTATGGCTATTTTTGTATTTATGGAGCCATGCCATTTTATACTTTTAAGTTGTTTTGCCACCCATAAAAAGGCGTTTTACAGTGCAGTTTTTAAATTACATGGGTGGCGATTTTCAGTTTTAAAAATTAGTCATTGCAGAAATTAAATACTTAGGAAAGATATTCCATTATCTTGACTGTAGAAATATAATAGTTGACAATGTTTACATATAATTTTACTTTTCTAAGGCATACCCAAAAACAGAGAATTAAAAAGAGAAGTAAATTTGTTCTGATACTTGCATAGAAAAATTTTCAAAAGAGGTAGTTAATAGCACATAAAATATTTTTTACTTTGCAAAATAGGTTGTTTGTGTTAAGTTGTTTTCAAAAAGTTAGCTACTGTATTGAGGCTTTGGATAATTAATTACTGTGTATTGATTAAAGCTAGTTTTGCAATTGTACAAGTGAACTTTTTTTAAAACTTAGCTTAGGTTAAAGGAAGAGGAGCCACAGCTTGATGAAAACGTGGTTCCTGTCTTCTAAATGGAGGAATCCAGTATCAGAAACATAATAAAGACATATTGGTATACAAACATTTTTTTCTTTTTAATATGTTCATTATATCTGGTATATAACAAAAATAAATGACTGGATGATTTCTAGAAAAAAAAGCAATTCTACACGTCATAAAATAGTCATGGCAGTGAATGTTTAGAAACAAAGAAGAATATCAAAGGGTGCAAGAGAGAAAAAAAATCAATTACACACAGGGAGAGAGGGATCCCAATAATATAATTTTTAATTGATACTGTGAATGCAAAAACGGATTTGGCTGATGTTTTCTAAGTTGTAAAAGGGGATAAATGCCTCCTAAAACTAGTATAACCAGAAAAATATATCAAACATGCTCAAATGAGAAAGAAAAACTTTTTATAAGAAAATATATTTAAGGAATGTATGGTCACTAAACTCTTCCTACAGAAGATAGAGGAAGAAACTGTTATGTCTGAAGAGAAAGTTAAATGTGTCCTGTGGGACTGTGGAATCCTTGGTGTTCGGCCACGACCTGGAACCCAGAGACCTAACATACAGCCCTTTCTAGGTCACGTGTAAGACAGGAGACTAACAGATCTCTGCCTCAAGATTTACGGATGACCTGAAGCCCCGCCCACTTCCAATATAAACAAACCCCCTCTGACATTTTTTGGGAGAGCTTGTCACCATCCGAACCCACCGCCATGCCAATAAATCTGTATGTCTCCAGCTCCACGTGTCTCTTTGAAATTCTGGACTCATTGTGTAAGTCAAGACTTGCACGCGCCCCTGTCCGCACGGTGGGATGGGGGAGGGAGAGAAGCCTTTTCTGCCTGCCCCGGTGCTCTCTGCACTCTAGCAGGCGGTGGGACACTTTCTCCTGACAACAGCGGCCGCTGGCCTGCGCCAAGTCCCACGTTCCTGGCGTCTCTGCTCCCAGGGCCTGCAGTGTGGGCGGGGGAGACCAAATCGTCAACAGAGTGCTGGGAGAGCTGCGGCCCCCGGGAGTCCCGCTCCTGCACGGGGCTGGGGGGTGGAGAGCCTTTCTCTCCGCTATAATTGATTCGCTACATCGGCTCCGCCCAGCCTGACTGAACAGCGTGCCCCTGGGACTGCCACTGAGGGCTGCTGGCTCTTGCCTGCTCTGCCCGCGACCCCTGGGTGTGAGCATTGCCCAACAGTGTCCCAGATTGCACTCAAAACAGATAAAAACTTCCAGAACATAGAATACAAAATCAACTAATAGAACAACAAAAAGGAAAGGAATTAATACACAGTATTCAATAATAATTCTTATTACTAATAGGTACCAATTTTCGATGGAAAAGATACAGACTAATAGACTAGATATGAAAACAGCATCCATTTTTATTGCCTATTTAAAACAGACCCCACGATCAATGATAGGATGAAATGATAGAAAAAAGGTTTTCCAAGCAAATGTTATTAAATAACTAGTAGTGTAGTTATTTAATATCAGAAAATTAAGCCTTCAAACCAAATCTAGTTTTGAGAGATAGGGAGGGGATTTTCCTCACTAAAAGAAAATTTCAAAAACATATTCCTCAAACACAATATCACCAAATTTCATAAAAGAAATCATATTGCACTCAAACCATGGATTGACCCTAATACAAGGATAGTAGTCTATCTGAAAAAAAAAAAAAAAGCTAGAGAAATTTTGGAGTGAAATGAAATGATGAATTAAGTGTATATCACATTTAACATAGATTCAGTACTTCTGAACATCTAGATTGTATGCTTCCAAAAGGACTGTTGATTCACTATATTCTGAAAAGCCTACAATAAACTGCACTCATCTAAAAACAAGATTAAAATGTCTTCAAAATATATACATGCTGAGATCAAATCTTTTAAAACCAACTATTGGAATACATTGGTCAGAATTTTTAGAAAATAGTGAATCTTTAATTTTAACACAGAATGTACAAGATGTATTCCTCTATTTACTATACTTTAATTATATATGCACAACCTGTTTTATATCCAGGGATCCTTCTTCTTCCTCTATACCAACATATCAAGGCTAAAGAAAACAGGAAATTGACCCCTTTCCTCCTTGGGAACACACAAGTTTAGAATCTGTATTTTTTTTTTTAACTGATAACCAAGACAAAACAGACTATGGACAACTCACAAGGGATTTGGTAACTTCAAATAATATTTTATATCAGTTATGAAATAGAACCTATTTAGAAAACAACTTATTTTCTAAATAACTCATAACCTCTGTCTGACACTTAAGATCATCTAGAAAGTATACATATTCCTAACAATGTATTTAGTAGTTCTATATAGCTCTGCTTACCCTGAAAGTTTCCATATCAACCTGGCTAGCCTTGAAGCTTTAGAGGAATCTGTCCATCTCAGCCTCTCAAATGCTGGGATAACAGGTGTGATATACATAGCTCTCACAATTCTTGTTTTTGATAGGTGATGGTATGCTATAAAATTTTAAATTAATATACAATCAATATCCATAATTACACACCACATATGGGGGATTAGTATCTTTTCCCCATAATTCAGTACAGATTTGATACTTGTTAATATGTTCAAATGTTGTTTGTATTTTTAATGTACAAGTGATACTGAGAATTCTAAAATTACACAAAATAAGCTTTAAAAGTTAGCGAAAACATTGCAAAATAAAACTTGAAAAATTTGATTCTTTTGACAAGAAAATAGTTTTGAGAACTACTGCTCATCAATATCTTAAGTAGGTTGATAATGGCTCCAGACTACAAACTTATCAATAGGAAAAGAATGGAGTACTGGAGAAGATTCTGTGTAGGATTTCTGTGATGGTAGCATCACAACGTTTCTATTAAACAGCAAGAGAGATGAGGCACTCTCTTTAATTTTCTAATTAAAGTTAATCAAGGTAAAGCACCATATAATCTTTTAATTTTCAGGAAATATTGAATTCCCTGTGAGGCCTAATTAGTACTGAAGAAGGGTATTGTAGTATAATAAACACTCTCTTTTTCTGTAATATTCACTGGGGACACACAGCTAGAAAGAAGAATTAAAGCAAAAATAATTTTGTACAAGTGAAAGGTCACATTATTTTATACCTTTAATATGAAATATCAAAATGATTTAAATGAATACCATTTAGTATAACATTTTCAAATGAAATGACCAAATATATATACAATTAAGCATGAAAAGTATTCATGAAAACAATTGTATATATATTGAAATAAAAATTAATACTCAAGCTAACAGAATACTTTATTTTAGTACATGAGTTGCTACCTCATTACTAACATATAAACATGCACACAATTGCTGAAACTAAGTCTGAACTATTCACTCAACTACCTTTATAAGATAAGTGTAAAGGCAAGATTATTTGATGCACATCAAGAAAAATTGCCATCAGTATTGTTTAGAAGGGTCACCTAGCATAAAAGAGCTTAACATTTACATAAGCATAAACCAACCCATTGTGTTCCTGTAAGTTAAGTTTTAATTATATTATATGTGCATATTAGGTATTCTGCAAATATCAAATAGTTATCATCTTCCTAATCATGACAATAATCAAATAAAAGTCAATCTTACTCAGAAAAAGTAGTGTAATATAGATAATGCTAGACACACAGGTCGTGGTCCTTTTAGTTACAGTATATTAGATAAGTACATACAAACACAGGCACAACTACAATGTGAAACTTTTAGTCAGAGAGACAGAAGAAGCATTCCTACAAAATATACGCACAATCTTTTAAAACTATGTAAAACATTTATTCAAAAGAATAAAAGTAGTTTTTAAGCTTAAAAATTATATTATTTTGTTTGCCATTGTCTATAAAAAGTAGAAATTTTGAAATTGCGTTGCATCACTCAAATATGTTAAATAAACCTTTATGTGAAGAACAAGCTTTTCCTACTTATAAATTTATATTGGTTTCATTCCCTACTTCATCTCATAAGTGTTCCTGAGACATTCGTCTCCCTTGAATATATTGGACAACCTAGGCACTAAAATCTCATGTTCTGCTCA